ATGAGGGAATGACTCCTATAAACCATCTCTGGTTCCTTTGAGGGGATCCTAGCGATTCGGGGTAGAACGAGAAAGCCGGTTTCGGAAAAATCCACCCAAATGGGCAGATGGATGCGCCACTCAGGTTTTTGTGTTTATTTGGTTTTGCAAGCTGGGCTTCGAAAAAATCGATGGAGGATCCTGCGTTGGAGCTGGACCCTGAGAACGTGACTTCGCACGTGGAGGGCCTTGCTGACCTGGTGCTGCAGCTGGACCACGACCCCACCGCAGACAAAGAGGCCGCCCAGGTGTCCAAAGCCGCCCGGCGGGCTTTTTTTTTAAAGTAATGATTTAAAGTTATTTATTAATTTAAGGCGTGTTGGTGACAGCTGATTGATTGGGTTTCTATTTGGCTGCGGGTCAAAAATAGTTTAACCCCAAAAATGGGTTACCCCGGTAAGTGGAAACATGGACCAACACTTGCGGTTTTCTGGCGGTTTAATTCTGACCCATAGCCATTTGGTGTTAGAAGTGGCCGAAATGTGTCGTTTGTGACAGCTGATTGACTGGTTTGCTCTTTTTTGGGAGGGGGAGGGAGTCCTTTGTATCACACCAAAGCCCGGCGAGTCTGTGGCGAGTCTCTTTCGTCCTTTGTCACTTTTGGGGAAGGGTTCACAACCGATAGAAATGAATCGCACAGGGGGGGTCTTGTTTTTCGGGATTTGTTTGGGGCAGGGGGAAAAAGCCTTAACAGGACAACAACCATTCAATTTGCAGCACATGAACGTGGATGAATTCTGACGCATAGCCAGGGCCAGGTTCTTTAGCGCCGCCCGGCGCCGAGGACGCGGCCAAGGGCCGTCTGACCCAAGATGCCGCGAAGATCATGGACCTGACGCGGGACCTGGCAGGCCCTGACAGTTGCCGTCGCCCGCGTTTTTTGTTGTGTTTTTCTTTCGGAGCGGGCTATGCCGGGTTTCAGGAAGAGTGGCTCGCAAGGTGTGGGGCCACTTCTTGGAAAAGGAGCAGACTTGATCAGGACTCCTAGAGTCTCCGGCTCTCGAATCCGAAGTTCTTTTTTCGGAGTTGTCCGGCAGCTTGGTCAGTGGGCCCCTCATCAGTTCGCCGTGTTTCACGACGACTGATGGGGAAGACCCCAAAGTGTTTATTCGCCTTGGCGTCGCGTGGCTAGCCGCCTAGTCGCCTAGTGAATTGGCACGGTTGCCCACACGGAGACTGCAATTTGTTTGAAAAGAAACATTCAAAACATGTCATCTTTCAAAAAAAACAACCACAAATCTTTTTTTCCACAAAAAGAGCCATTTCTTTTAGTTGTTTTTCTTTCGAATCCGTCCTACACCCGTTGCCGCTACGTTTACTTGCCGGTCAGAGAATGTGGGAATGAATCCAGGGAGTCCCCTACAGGAAACCAGCAGTTGGATCTTTTTTTTGTTTTTCCTTTCTCGGGTCCTTCCATTTCGCAGGCCCCGATCGCATCTCCACCGATGGCAAGTTCTCCGATCCGGTCGACTTCGGAAGCGGTTGGCTTTGCCAATGCCAGGCACGCTCACCCCAGAGGCCGCAGCAGAGGCGGGCGCCGAGCTCACTGCAACTGACATCGCAGCGCGGCCGGGTTTCGTCGGTGTCCAAGGCCCGGTTCCGAACCGAAATGACTTGGTTTTTGCTTGGGTGGGGGGGGGGGGGCAAGAGAATAATCAATATCCCGTATGAGCATAAGTAAATTGGGTTTGAAAGCATCCTGCAACCCCAGTCGAACTGCTTGACGGCTTCTTTTGGTCCATCCACTGGAGCGGGAAAATCCGTTGTTAATATCGGCGGTGTTCTTTTGGCTTCCCTGCGATGCATGCGCTCGGCACGACACAAAGACACATTTGCTGTTAAATACAATATTTTAGTGGCCAAGACGAAAACAAATTAAAAACAAATCCCTAAATAAAGCAAAATCAAATCCTAAATCAAATTTCAACCCTTTTAGACAACACCCTGTTGCTCGGCTTCCCACTAAAATGCGACTGATCAAAAAGAAGTTCAAGCACGGCCTCCTGTCCAGATACCAAAGCACCAGGGGACTCTGACTTTTTGTGACTGAGCAAGGTTCATGCGGAAAGGACGCTTGGCCCGTTTGGCCGAGTTGTCATTGTTTGAAGCTGTCCGTTGGCCCTTTTGGCGTTTTTTTTTCTCCTCATTTTTTTTCAGGAGATCCAAAAAAGGGAAAGCCTTTGGAAGCCGAGTTTTTCTCGGGTTTGGGTTTTGGTTGTTTTGGTACACAAATAGATGGCCCTGTTTACCTGGTGGTTTAATCATCTACCAGGGCCATCTATTTATCCTAAAAGGACACCTATGTTTGGGGTTCCTTGTGTGACTCTGGGCTTGAAAAATCTGACACCGGATGTTCATGTTCGGTTGCTTCGGTGCGACCTGGAGCTGAGCCCCAAGTGCCAGATTCGGGACCTGACTCGCAAAGTACCGAGAATGTTGCACTCCAGACCGATAGCTTCCATGTAAACTGAACATTTTGCAGAAAGAATAAGTTTAAGCTACTTGTTGAAATTAGAAGCCCATTCATTTTGCAAGAATGAGTGTCCATTCTAATTTTATGAAAGTGTAAATCTAAAGCAGGTTTGAAGTCAAATTGGGAAACGAAGTCCCATTCAAACTGATACTTGACATTGAAACCCCAATTTTAGGTTTAGCGGGTCCCATGTCCTTGTACAATTCGGTCTCAATCCTAGGTCATTATTTTCAAAGCATGTTGTTGAAAGGGAATCCTGCTTAAACTGTTGGAAATCAACATGCGGTTGAATCTGACAACGTTCCATTTCCATGTGTAACGGGATTCATTCCTATCTAAGTCAGTTGTTGACATTTAGTCTATTTCTAAGAACGGCACTTCCCTTTTACAAGACCTTTGACATTCTATTGAGAATCAATTTTGCAAAATCCTGTCTAGCTTATGGTACTTATCTAATCCGACTTAATGTTTATCAAACTCGACATCCTATTCAACGTTGTTCAAGCCGAACTCATCTTAACACAAGGTGTTTCCTTCCAAAATTCGAGCCACACTATATTCCAAGTCAAATTTAGACAACATCCTATTGAACTTGCTATTTGAAGTTGAAGTCCTTTTTGAATTTGAAGCGCTTCAAATTCAAATTTCCGTTATAGAGTTCAATGAAGCACGAACACTGTTGTACGCACTTGGCCAAACAGCACAGTGATCTGCACATTTCAGCATGTGTCCTGTCATTTTCCCCTCAACGAAAAAGTCAAAACCGTGCGCTTCCCGAGTCAAACAAGAAGGGCATCAATAGGAAAAATATGAACTGAAAGTTGTTCCCCGGAAAACAATTCATTTCCTGCCGTTTGAAGATTGAAGACTCCACAAACAAATATGCCAGCTGGATTCCTCGATCCTGGCCAGTTCCTTGTTACAGCATATCTGAAAGTCTTCAGGTTTAGATTATCGATCCTTGGGACATTGCTAACGTATTTTGGGTCGTTAAGATTGAAGGATCCCCGACAGGTTGTTTGTGGAAGAGTCAATTTTCGGAACAATTTTAAGTTGTTACTTTTTCATATTGAGGCCAGTTGGACCACTGGTTTCTTTTCAGCACTTTTTCCAAAGGCTGAAAACCCTGAGCGGCCTTCTTAAACAAAAAACAGCCTTGACAGCTTGGATAGCTGAAAACTAATAATCAACCCTAGTTTATGAATATGGGGTTGTTCCCCTCCAACATATTAATCCTCACTAAACCCAGGGAGAAGCACCTCCCCATGGTAATAAACAGGGGCTGATTATTCTGTGGTCAGCACCAGGTCCCTTTGTTAGGTTTTTGAGGATATCTGCACTGTGGGCGTCCGCAGGCACCAACATCGGTACTTCTCATCATGGTGTAGAGAAGATGCCTACTTAGACAATTCTGTTTGACATCCTAGCACGGCGCAAGTTCAGCTCTACCAGTTTTCAAGTCTTAAATTGTAAGGCGTTCAGTTATATCGGAGTTCAACTAGAATTCAATGAGTTCAATGAACAGTATTATTTCGAGCTAGAATGTTAAGCAGGATGCCCTTTCCACGCAGGGTTCGTATTAGAGCTTGGTAAGAACCCTAGTGAGGTCAAGACAATATGGTTGTCTTTTCTGCTTAGTTTTACTAGACTTCTCATTTTGAAATAGACTTTAAACCGGAATTCATGTTCAAGTAGGAGTTTACTTAGAATTTAAAGAAGCCTCTAGTGAGGAAGGCAGCTGTTGAAGAAAAGAGTTCATCACGAAAGCTAGCTTTAGCTAGCTGAGTTTCTCCTTGCGTAAGCAAGGTAAGGGGCTGAAATGCCGAAAGATTGAGTTTATCAATTATTTGAGCCAAAAAGATTGCAAGAATCAACTATTTCCACCGCCCCAACCCCCCCTCCCTTGCCGGGCTCGAATCCCCCTGGTCCACCCCCCCCAAAAAAAGACTTGGACCTAGAAACACATTTCCACGTCCGGTCTGCATATCTGAATCCACTTTCGTGTTCTTCCTCAATCTTCTCAGGAAAGCACCTCGCAGGAAGCCGTGCGCAAGCAACATGCAGAACACTGGGGTGCTTTAAGACGGCTTGAGGCACCTCTCGTTATTTATATTTTTGACGGTTTGCCGGGCCACCATGTCAGTTTGCGTGTGGCCCCCCGAGGATCCCTACGACGCCTGTCATGGCGCGCAAGCTACCCATGGAATCTATTCTGTTTCCGACCCGTCGCATACAACAGTCGCTAGCTTTCGTTCACCCCTCCTCTAATTGTCAAGTAGTATTTTGGCCAGAAAAAGGAGTCTGTCAAGGAGAGACAAGCTGGCGGCTTCTTCTAATTTGCTTGCCCCTTTAAAGGAGTGAAACGCCAATAGAGATCCATGGGAAATGGTAATGTCAGTTCTATTGTTCGGCTTCAATTTGAGTTGATGGAATCTAGTGAGGAAAGACAAGCCGGTTGTTTCTTCCAATGTGTCTGCCCCATAGAGTGAAGAACCGATCGGTACTCAAGGAAAGAGCAATATTAGATCTGTTGGTTTGCACGTTTAAAAAACAAAAGCAGATGTTGAATGGGAATTCCATAGGTTTTCTTAAGGACATACGCCCGTGGAGAAACAAAAAGGTTGCAAAAAATGTGCTTAAAAGACAAAGCGAGCTGTGGGTCATGGAAGGGGTGTGAGCATGTGTATATATATATACACATGTATATATATATATATATGTGTGTGCGTGTGTGCTGGACTTGGGAAAGAAGCGGCGTGTGTCCGCATATATATATATATATATATCTATATAGATACAGATAGATAGAGAGATATGTGCGGGTCAGAGGCGAAACTTTTGCTCTGGGCTGAGGAAGAAATCATGAACCTCACGGACAAGAACGGGCATTTGGTGCACCTGGAGGAGACGAAAGGAGCCTTTCAAGGCGCCCCGAAACGGCCAGAAAAGACGCGGAGGGTTGGCGGCCGCTGGTTGCTTTCGCCCCGAAATGTGTTTTTGTTTTTTTTGGGGGGGGTGGGGGGGTGGGGGGCACAAAGTGTGCTGCATTTTTGGTTTCCTGGACTAAGCCGAAAAGGACATCCTCAAAAATGCAGAGGCAAATGGGCGGACGGACAGGCACGCCCGCACGCGCCCGCACTCGCCCTCGCACACACCCGCACCCGCACCCACACACACACACAGTGAAAAGCTGCCCGTGAGGACGCGTTTGGGCGAAGGTCCTTGGACCCCGTGCTTCTCAAAAGGTTTTTGGTCTCAAGCTGTCTCACACACACACACACACACACACCACCAACGCCCGCCCACCCGGGCACGCACGAGCACACGCGCACGCGCACTGTCATTTCGGAGGAGTGCCAGTTCAACTCAAGGAGACATCAGTTTTAGGCCTGATGGAGTCCATATAAACCTCTAGTTGATATGATGGAGCATGTCGTTTTAGATTTCATTGCGCGGACTGGATGGGAAACCAGTGGTTGCACAGACGGCTTTGAGTCTGTCCGGCTGGCTATTATGCCAGAAGTCCACTCGGTGACTCACAACGTTGTCTTTTTGACACCCTTTAGGAGAATGTGTTGATTTCCTTCCAAACATATTTTTAGGCCAATCTTGCCCATAGATTTTTAGATGTGCTTCTAAAGAATTGGTTGAACGTGAGCCCCAGCATTTGGGACTTGCAGCAAGACTGAAGGGCATTTTACCAGGACAAGGCCCTCCTTCAAAGGGCCCTGATGCTCCCGATCTTTGTTGGTCATTCGCAACATCCAGCTAGTTCTTCCCCTAAAAATCCCCAGACACCGATCGCGGCCTTTTGTATGTGAAAATCAAACAGGTTCTTCCCCAGTCCAAACTCCCAGACGACAGGCGCATTAGGTACCCCAGCCCAGGCGATATGGTGCCAGAGGACCAGGCGCAGCTGCGTTCCTTCATCCAGCTGGCGGAATCTTCGTCCTATCAGATCGGCGCCGGGAAGGCGTACGGGAGGCCCTGGCCTGGAGGTGGGGCGATGAAAAACAAATTCCCCCATGTCGCGTTCTTTTTGTTTGGCGTTGGTCAACCCCCTTTTGTGGCGGTGTCAAAGAAAAACCCATGGGAAACCGCCCATTTTGTGGGTCTCCTAAAAAAGACCCACCCAAATATTGTAGTTTGGGTTTGTTTGCTGTTTGTCTCTGATTTCCTTGCGCTGCTCCTCTGCAGATTACCCAAAAAACCCGATGAACGCCTTTAAGTTCGGACCCGCAAAATGGGTTCCATCTTGGTTTGAGGCGAACATGTTGAAAGGAAGCCACAAGGAAACCCAAAAGCAGTCTGGAGGGGGATTATCCTCCTTCTTTTTTGCAAATTGCATCTGAGTGTGCATGGCACTGGTTATCCCCCTTTCCGGGCAAACAAAAAGAAGACAAACAAAAAGAAAAGCGACAAGTTTCCTGCGGGGGTTCACTTGTAATTTCTCACAGCGAAACAAAAGTGCGACCTGCAAAGCCGTCGCCAGTGATGTGTACGAAAGCCAGAAGGGATTTGAGAAGCCACCTATAGAGAGTGCCGCATGTTTTGTGGATGTTTCTCAAGGGGAAAGCAAGAGGAAACCGAGAAAGCATTGAGGGAATGCTGGGGGTATGGCTGGTGATGCTGTAAAACTCTCCCAAAGCGAAAACGGGGATATGAACTGTTTCTTTCGGTATTCAGGCCGGTGCCTGAGTTTGTTTGAAGGTCTGGTCTTTTCAGAGTGTGTGTTGCCCGGTAAGCAGATATAATTATATATATATATATATATATATATACAAATATATATTTGTATGTGGTTGGGGCGAGTAGCTTGTCCTGCGCGTTCTTGTTTGAAGGGTTTCTTGGAATGAAGCCAATTCAGTTGGTGAGTCCGAATGGCGAGGACGGTCAAGTGAAGGGTGTGGTCTTGCTGCATTTCTTTCGGGTTTCTTGTAATCCTGGTATGCCGATTGCGGTTGTTGGTGGTTGAGTGCGTGTGTTTGCTCGCATGCGTGTTCGTGTGCTTGTTGGTTGATTGGTTGGTGGGTGGGTGGGTGGGTGGGTTGGTTGGTTGGTTGGTTGCTTGTTTGCTTGTTTGCTTGTTTGCTTGTTTGTTTGTTTGTTTGTTTGTCTGTCTGTTTGGGGCAAGTGCTTTGCTTTGTGGTTTTGGAAGGTGTTGTTTGCAATGCAGCCAATTCGCCTAGTGACTTCCTTGTATGCGGTGATCGAAGGTGTTTTAACGACGTTCATCATGGTAATGCGGAGGGCGATCAGTTTGGCGATTGTGTTTTGTTGTGTGTTTGTGGCTCAAAATTAACCAGGAGGGGCAAACCGCAGGTTTTGGTCCATGTTTCCACTTGCCGATCGGGCAACCCATTTTGGAATTCCGGATTTTTGAGCCACAGCCATGTGTTTGTTCATCCAGTTCCATGAAGTTTGGCTTGCCGCTCATTGCATTGGCTCTTGCGACTGGTGTGGAAAAAGGCGGGCTTTGAAGACTCCTGAATGGGGTCAGGGACCCACACCCAGACCATTTTGGCGCCTGGTTTAAAACCTGTTTAGAGCGCTTTCTCCTTAAGTTCAACCACAGAACAAAGAGTGCCATGTTTTTTGGTCTTGGAACACAGGATTGGTTTCTTTTGGATTTCCCAAACCGTCCCCAGGCGTGCGTCGACCGCATGAACGGTTTTCCTTTGGCTTGTCTCAGCCCTTTTCCCTAAGAGGGGTTCCCCGAAGAAGAATCCGACTGCATCTCGAGCAACAAAAACCAATCTTTGGATTCCCCCCCCCCCCCCCGGCCCCAAAACCAGTAAAAGAAAGGCTAACCCCCCTTGAAAAGCTTGGCAGTGGAGCTAGGGTTACGCAGGTTTTGGTCCATGTTTCCACTTACCAGGGTTCCATTTTGGTACCTATTTTTCACCCACAGCCGCTTGGTTTTGGGCGGGGTTGCCCTCCTGTTTCCTCGGGTTTTGTCGGGTCGGCTGGTCGCAGGCATGCTGAAGTACTGCTTCCATTCCAATGTCTCACAGTCCCTTAAGGACACGGTGCATCTGGCAATCAAGCAGTACCAAAAGGCCGTGCCTTGCATCAGGCAGGGGTCTTTGTTTGTTGGATGGTGTGAGTCAACGTACTCCTCATAGGTGTCCTTTTAGGATAGTGTGGTGAAACACAGCTGGCACTGGTTTAGATGGGCTTTATTACATTTACCAGGCCATCTATTTTTCCAAAAAAGGACACCTACGATACTCCTTGTTGCTGTTCTGTTTCAGGGTGTGCACTTTTGTTTTTGGTTGAGAGCAAAGGGGCAACCCCATCCAAACAAATATAGAACCGTTCTCTTTTGGTTCCTTTTGGGAAAATATTGCAAGTTGCTTGTTCATGCTCTGATCCGATTGTTCACGGCTGAGGGGTTGTCCTGTTCTGCCAAAAGCGGCTATTTAGTTCCAAGTTAGAATTGTTTGGACCCTCAACAAGTGAGTCTTCTCAGACAAGCGGAAAACGCGTTAACGGGCCTGCTTTCTCTTAAGATTGCTAGCCCTCAGATGTTGAGTCAATGCTGATCCCCTCTCAGCTCTGAGGGGGAAGACACGCGTCCAAGCTAATGTTACGAGCAACGGACAATCTAAGCATTATTTTCCTTTGCTCACGCAGCCAGTGCGAACCAATTGACCAATTGTAGAGACATGCCGTTGGAGACTGAGAATGACCCATCCCTTCCTTGGTTTGTGTTTTCCACGCAGGGCAGTCAAGTTTCACAACAGTCCCGGACGTTTTCTCAACGTCGACCATGGATTGATCAACAGGCCAGGGCAAGCAAGGCTGCCATTCATGCAAACTTTCTCATGCTTTGCATATTTTTCTGATTAGCTTCAAAATTAAAGGGCCGGATAACCCCACATGTGTAGCCTTAGACAACACAGGCTCGCGTGAACCGGGAGCATGCACGCCCGCGAGATGTGGCGAGCGCGAGTCAATGGAAGAAGCGAGTGTGAACGAGTCTGCCCGGTGCGTCATCTTTTCTCGTTGTCATGTCATCTTTTCTCGGTGTGACACATGTCTGGCAGTCGCAGCGCAACTTCTTTCGGTTAACCTAGCGTATCGTTGACCCTGCGTCTGTGCCGCTTCCAACTTTTACAGCGAGCAGCTCACACGTCAAACTACACCCAGTAGGAACCCTGCTAAATGCTGCCGCTGCCACGCAAACACACGCCCAGATGAGTCAGTGAGAGTGAGTCAGTGTGAGTCAGTGTGAGTGAGTGTGAGTGGGTGTGAGTGAGTGAGGGAGTGAGTGATGGGCCGCGATATTTGCAAGCCATCTCCAAAGTGCCGCGCCTGTCACGCACAACGGGACCTCAGCCGCGCGCTTGACACTCAGCTGCAGGAAATGCTGCGCCTGCCACGAAAGTGCAAGCCACCGCGCGCTCGACCACATCCAATCCCTTCAGACAGCTACCAAATGCTGCCCATGCCGCGCACCCAGATGCAGGAATGCTGCGCCTGCCACGAAATTTGCAAGCCATCTCCAAAGTGCTGCGACTGCCACGCAGAACGGAGCCCCCAGCCGTGCGCTCGACACCATCCAGTCCCTTCAGACAGCTACCAATGCTGCCCATGCGCGCAAACAGACACCCAGATGAGTCAGTGTGAGTGAATGTGAGGGAGTGAATGTGAGGGAGTCTGAGTGAGTGAGTGAGTGAGTGAGTCAGTGAGTGAGTGAGTGAGAGTGAGTGAGTGAATAAGTGAATAGGTGGGTGAGTGAGTGAGTGAGGGAGTGAGCGAGTGAGTGAGTGCGTGCGTGCGTGCGTGCGTGAGTGAGTGAGTGGGTGAGTGAGTGAGTGAGTGAGTGGGTGGGTGGGTACCAACTACCCTATACAAAATATGAATCCCTGCCTAGGATGTCCAAATACAATTTCTCAATGCTGCTTTAACCATCCTCGGAAAGATAGACACATTGTTCAAGATCTGGCACCCCGTTGCTTGGCGCAAAGATGGAACCGACTCCCGCGCAAGAACGGCGCCGGTCGCGCAAGGTCTGGAAATTTTTGGGCCCGTAAGTCACGATTTGGTTTCCTGAGGCACACAATGTGTCCAGACACGCGACGGGCGCTTTTTCACCTTTTCGCGGGACAAGACATTTCTGCATGTTGCATCCCAAGGGACTTTTTTTTAAGCTGGGAGACTCACACTAAAGTAGTCTACGAGGGATCTTTTCCACAAACTTTTCTATCTTTGTGCGGACCCCTTTCCAGGAGTCCAAGATCATTGTCCAGACCTTGCAGCTTTTCTATCTTTCCGAGGATGGATATTGTTTATACTTATCAGGTCTTCTGTACAACCTCTTAAAAGCTAATGATCAATATCAAGTCGAGCAACAAGCCAAAAGCTAGTCCCATGTACCAAAGGAGCCGAGGATTCATTATACCAACCGTTTGTAGTCACAAAAGTCGGTTGGTAGAATGGAAAGTAAGCTTTCCCAGTCGCGGATAAACAAGGAGTTACTTCAAGACATCTGAATGGGACGTCTCTTACTGCCGTTTATGACTACCTGCAGCTGCACATTGGCACCGCTGGATTTCCTCGACGCTTCAGTTCCCCCCCCCATGATTGCCAACCGGACCCGAAAGGAAGCCGAGATCGGGCGAGGTTTGCCCGGCAACTCATTTGTACCTCCGTGTGACAAGACGACCCCGTACCGGATTCGTCTTGGCACGCCGAGCCTGTCCCAAACAAGTTGCACGTTGAAGGCGCAGTGCCCCGCCCCTGGCAGGTGGCAAAATGTGGGCTACAAAAGCGGCGACCTTTGCCACCAGTCTCCTGCAGTTGTGATCAAATCCGAGCCAAAAGGCTGCAATTCCTATGTGGGCCTGGTAACAAGCACATCCAAACCCTGCCAGATTCTGAAGCCTTGCCAGATTCTGCACCCTTCTTCCTTTTCTCTGGATGTTGTGTTTTTTTCTCTGACAAGTGGCTCAACAAAAGGGGGATTGTGTTCCTTTCCCGTGGGATGAAGTGACATGTTTTTCTCTTAAAGCAGTCGATGAACAGAAGGGGGATTGTGTTTTGTTATCTGTGGGATGAAATGACCTCTCCTTCTGTCAGTCATTATCCTTTTTCCTTTTGCATGGCTCTTCTGTCTGTCTTCTTGTTGGGGCACTTGGCTCAGGAACTTGCAGGAGCCCGGGTGTCTGTCGGTGGGCACCGCCATCCACGAGCTGGGGCACGCCCTGGGCATGGGCCACGAGCAGGCGCGCCCGGACCGGGACCACTACGTCACCATCCACTGGGACAACGTCCAACGCGGAATGGACCTTTGGCCCGGCCCAAAACTGGCACAGGTGTCCCTTTTGGCTGTTTTAAGGTTCAATCCCCAACATAGGTGTCCTTTTTGGTCGTTTTTGGGGAAAAGATGGAGGGCGATTCCTTCTTGGTGGTTTTAAAGTTAAAGTAGACAAATCGACGGGTTTCGATTCCTGGTGTACCTGGTGGTGCAAGATCATCTATCCGGGAAATCCATCTATGTCCCCGAAAAGGGCGCCTATGCTGGCACACCTTTTGAAGGTCCCCCAGCTGGGTGCCGGAGGGCGGGCAAAATTGGCACACCCGTTTTTTTCTATAGGTCCCCCAGCTAGGTGCCCTTTCTCAGCCACTTTGTTTTGGTTGGGAGGAACCCCCTCTACTAAAATAGACCACAGGAAAAGTTGGTACCCTTATTCTAACCTCTCCTGCCTTTTTCGCCCTTTTTTCTCCGCTGATTTTGATGTCAGGGCCTCATTTTTATTTTTTTTAACCACAAAGTGCACTGAGTGTTGCCTTGGCTCAACCCGGGGGCCCCTGGGCCGAAACAGGATATTCGCGTGGATCAAAGAGATTTCCGGGCGTCGGTTTGCAAAGGAGCGCAATTTTGAGACGAACATGGAGAATAGCACACACCCATATGACATCTTGTCGGTGATGCACTATGGCCGCGACTTCTTCGCCGTCAATGAGTCCCTTCCAACCATGACAATAAAAGCTGCGGCTTTCAGGCTGGGCGTTTTGGAAGATTGCGGGTACTCGATCAGGTTCCTTTGCTGTTTCATGCTTCCATTGGGTTCCCATTCGTGAAATGTCCTCGCCGCCGGGCCGCCAGCCGCCAGTGCCGCCGGGCACGAGCCCGAAGAAGTGGGGAAGCTGGACATCGGCAATCGGATCGGGCTGTCTCAGATGGATGCGGATCAGGTGGCCGATTTCTACAAGTCGGTGGTGAGCACGTGCCGAGCCAGCGAGCTGCAGAACTTCACATGCACAGAGAGGGACACTCAGCTTTTGAAGCTTCTTTTATTTTTTTTGTTTTGTTTTTTTGTTGCGGGGTTTTGGCAGTTTGGTGTTCCGGGTTTGGTTGAAGTCGGGATACCAGAAGGTTAACCCATGTCCAAGTCCTGCTAGGAGTTGGATGGCAAGCCGTGGGCGGATCGATACAATCAAAACTGCTCCGTCTACCTCAGGATGCAGACGAGTGGCCAAATCAAAAGCTGCGGAGAGCCGTTTGGGTCTGGCGTTTTTTGCTGCGAGTGCGGGGGCGGGCTGCGCTTGCAAACGTGGTCACCATGAGGCAAGCGCCAAGTGCCCACACGCGGCCTGGAAAATAGAACATGGACCCATGCCTCAATGTCAGTAGACTGAGTTGAGAGAAGGGGCGAGATTGGAAAAAGCAGTCGCTGTTGAGTTCTCATGCCATGCTCAAGTTCCTGCAGCCACGTTAGCAGTTGCTTGTTGAGTCAAAACACGCCTGCATTGGGGATAGATGCCGAGGGTCAACTCTTCAGCTAACTGTGCGCAAATTTATGTGTCTCTCAATGTGGGTGGCTTTGGACGCTTCTATCTCTATTCTGTGGTTGTGGTGTTTTTGTTTTCGTGTACTTTTCTTGATTGGTTGATTGTTTTTTTTTTTTTTTTTTTTTTTGTCGCTTTGTGGTTTGTCGGCCTGCTTGTTTTGATTGCTTTGCTTGCTTTGCTTTGCTTTCTTGCTTGCTTGCTTGTTTGTTTGTTTGTTTGCTTGCTCGCATTTGGTCTTGCTTGTTCGCTTTTGTTTGTGCTTGCATTTGCATGTTTACCTGTTTGCGTGTGAGCTTGTTAGGGTGCAGGCGCAGGCGGACACGTGCGATTGTGCGGGATTGCAGGTGGGCAGTGAGGACGGGCGTCAGCACGTGCAAAACGGGTGCGCGGGAGTACACGTGGGCGGGGGGTCACGTGCGTGTGAAGGCCTGCGTGTGAAAGTCCCCTGGAGAAGTCTCTATCAAATAGCCTGAGGATTTCATTGGACTTATCGAGGCTGGTCCACGCGTCCTTGGGGCCTAATTCCAGTCTCGGCGCGCCCCTTTTGGAAATTGACAGTTTAAGGATTACCCCGCGACCGCAGCGAGCGGGAATTTTTTTTGGGTTGGTTTCAGAAGAACGAAAACCTTCAAAAACAAGCAGTTTTGGACGAAATTTCAAGTTAGCCAAACGGACGCCTCCCCCGCCAAAAAAGATTGAAAGAACAATTGCAGGCAGATGCTTGGAGCTCCGCATGCCAAGCCTTAGACAGCTTCTCTGCCCGCCCCGAACATGTTTGCGCGACGGAACCGATGTTTTTATCAATATGGTAGTCGGATTTCGCGATTCCGCTTCTCGAAATACAATCTCCCCCCTTTCCGGGCCCAACAGTCAAACTAAAAATGGCAATTTCCGAGCAAGGAATATTTAGATAGCAGAAATCCATCTCATTTTGGTGTACTGTGTTGGTTTCGAATTGGTTCAATATTGGTTTAGTATGTGTTTAGTATTTGCTTAGTACTGGTTTTAGTTCTGAAGTGTCCCCTAGTGCGACTCGATTTGGGGTGGCGGGAAATTCGCTGGCTCAGAGTTGGTTTAGTATCGGCCAAGCAGGAGATTGGATATATCTACGGGCACCTTCCCCATTCTTTCCAGGGGTGCTTCTTTTCGGGAAACCAAACACCAAATGAGGAATCAGCCTTTTTTGGTTGATTGTTGAAAAGAATGGGGAAACAACCCCTAGAACATAGTTTTTGGCTGCGTTCACTGATTGTGGAGGGGGTTGTTTGATTTGAGAGAACTAACCTTGGAAGCTTCTGGAAAGAACCGTAGAGTCTCACTGGCATGTAATAGGTTAAACTCTTTGCAGCAAACAGGAGGTCGACCAAAATGGGGCCCTTTTGTGAGGCTCATCCAAGCTGTGGCGTTGGTTTTCACTGAAGGGCATTTGCATGTTTGAAGGTGCATAGAAGCACGTGCGCTGGTTGGCTAAAGAAACCTGCGCTGTTGGGGCAAGCAAATGTGAGTATAGCGTTGGATGATCAAATCAGCCAAGGATGGTGGATACTCTGCAGGAAGGGTGCTGAGGTACTGTCCATCAGGTGAGCGGACCCCTGCTATGCAGGAAGGATGTCGTGCGCATAGTTGTTCGCGTTGCCTTCCGTTGAGGAGGTCAAAAAGGCTTTTTGCATTGTTGTCAAGAAAGCACACCCAGACAAAGGTGGAGATGTCGCGCATGCTCAGCGATTGCAAGTGCGCGAAAGAAATGGACTTTAGCCAAGCGGCCAAGGCATGACAAATCTCGGCCTGCCGCTCTTCCAGTTGCGGGCAAACAAGCAAGATCTTAAGCTGACCTGGCACGTTCTGCGCGTCTCTGTTTAGCTACTAAAATTGCTAAGTGCTGATGTTGCAGTTCCTAGCCTCAAAAAGCCGCAGCGCACAGCTCTTTGTTTCAACGGCGCGAAGTCCAGCGCGAAGGTTTGCGGGGAAGGCGTCTTGGACCCGGCAGGCAAGCAGGTAACCGTACATCCCTCTGGCCGAACGCAAGAAATGGCCACGCGGCGTGGGAAAACTGAACGTGCGTGCAGCAGGCAAAGATATGTGCCTTGCAAACCGTGCAGTGTGTGGAGTCAATCCAAGATGCAACATCCCGGAATGCGTGGCCAATCGCAGTTCACTTTTGAGGGCGCTCTGTTCCACTACGCTTCTCCGCAAAGGTGGCAAAGAACCTACGCGTCCGTGGCGTGTTGGATGCTTCTCCGCATCAAGCGTGGGGTGACCTTTTGGCAGCTTTGTTCCGATCCTCGACGCGCGGTCTCAGCACCAATCTCTTGGAAGAAAGTGCAGTTCCAGAACAGCTTGATCTGGTGCGGAAGAAGTTGTGCGACCAACTTTGCGCCCTTCTCAAGCCAGGCTGCATAAAACGCAAAGCCCTGGAGCCGCTCGGGTTGCTTATTATTTGGGCTACCAGCGGAAGCCTCGAGTGGCTCGCGCCGCTGTATGCAGATCGAATTCCCCGCCGGGATGCGTGCTATCAGTCAAAGCGCGGTTGTTTCTTTTGCGCACTGAACTTTAAAGCCGTGCGGTTGGATGGCTGAAGTCCAAACCTGGCAATGGTTGGTGTCCTAAGGATCAAATTCGGATTGCCCCCCCCATGTTGAACCACCCCGGTTTGGCGTCAAGAGGGTATGGCTCAAAATCAAAGAGCTACCGTTACGCAGGTTGTAGTCTTTGGTTCCATTTGGCACACTTTCTTTAGCCACAGCCAAAATTGGTAAAACAAAAAACAAAAAAACTTCCGCAGCCGCCTGGCTGTGCGCAACTTTCCGGGCTGTGCCGAACTGGCGAGCCATGGACGTGAAGTTGCCGGAGACCCCCCGGGCGTGGCCAAAAGAAGGCCCCCGCCGGTTCTTGCAAGACACCGCTTTGAGGTTGGGGGAGGATGCTCGAAGAGAAGCCCAGCTGCCCAGTAACACTCCTTTTTTATTTTTAGAACATAAAATAAGGCGGTTCTTTTTTGGGTTCTAGTAGGGTCTTTTTCCTCGTAGAATCAACCCACCAAAAAAGGTGCCCAGGTTTCCCCGTAAACATCCACCGGGCGGAGGAATTTGACGGCTCCTGCATGTCGACGCCCTCTACGGCTCTGCCGAAGAGCCGAGGGCCCTCCACCATGCAGCAGCGGGATGATGAAAAGCTGATGCGGAATAGCTTTTTGGCGGAGGCTTCTGATTGTATTCGCTCTTTGCAGTCTGTGTTCGACAGCGTGGCTCGGCGCGCGTTTTTTTCTTTCTTCTGTTTTACTTTTTGTGTCTGGCCATTTTGCGGAGAGGCACCGCGAGCTTGATAGTCAATCCTTTTCTGCGGTTCATCCGCATGAAAGGGGTACCCTGTGGCTTTCCACTGCAAGCGACGCCTCTGTGTTGCGCCCGACTTTCACACTTCTTTGCCTCCTCCGTCTTCGGGGTTTGCCTTACAGGACATGGCCTAGTTTGGTGAAACCCTCAAATTGGCTTTTGACCCTCCTTTTGGTTGGTACTTGGGAAACCAAAAGGAAGCAACCATCAGGGGAGCTTGGTTTTGTTCTCCTTTAAAGCCACCCATGCTGGGAAACCTTTAGATATGACAAAGGGAGCTACAACCCGCTTCAGCTCGGAGGTAAGCCATTTTGGACCCAAGTACCCGTGGCTCAAACAACCTTTCCCTAAGGCGACCAGCTGGGGTTTCAGTTAAAGACGACCATTACTTGGGTGCTGTAGGGACCCCGACATCAGACGTCGGTGAACCTGTGGTGCGCCAAGGTTCCTCAAAAGTCCCATGCGGAAAAAAGAAACAAGACCTAGAGATCCTTTCAGCTCAGGGAAGCCAATCTTTGAACAGGAGTTGATTCAGCCCTGGTTGAATCCCAGATCCACAGGGCTTGAAAAGTCCAGCCTCGAATTCCCCCCCTTCGGATCCAGCCCTTCTTTTGTTTTGGTTGAATCCCCCCACCTTTGGTCGAATCCGAAGCCCCCCGAAGCCACCCGAAGGCCCGCCGGCGAGCCGAGGCGAATGCCTCGACCTTCGTGTCCCGCTTTGAGGATTGGCGGAAGATCGACCTGAGGGCCACAGCACAGCTCCAGGAGCATGTCACCTCGGCGCAAAAAGGGGACCAGTTTTGGAGCATGCATTTTGCCAAGGGATGTTAGGACTGAACCACTTTTTGCCAACTCATTTTTTTGTTTTCCATGAAACCACTGAAGGTTAAACTTTTAGCAGGGGAGAAAGGGCGCGTGGATCTTTTCCCCCCGAAAGCTGAAGCCAGCTTTTCAGGGGTACGTCCGCCCGTTTCGGGAATAATTTTCTTTTATAATAAAAAAAAAAAACAGAAGGAAAGCCAACATGTTTTTTATGTTTTTTTTTTTTTTTTTTGTGTGTGTGTGTGTGTTTTTTTCTTCTTTTTCTTCTTCTTTTTTTTTCCGGTTTTTCCTTCTTATTTTGTTCTTCTTCTTTTTTTCTCGGGTTACACGTGTTCTGTTTGAACACATACCTGTTTGGTTTGGATCTTCGACCTGGACTTTTGGGGGAACCTCGCTCGGTCTAAACATTACGTGTTTTTTTTTTGGGGGGGCGCCGTTTGTTGGGGCTCAAAGAGAAACCACAAAAGAAACAGACATGAATCAGTCTTGTGGGTCCCCGATGTTGACACATACCCCTTTGGTTCGGGTCTTGGACTGAACACATTCTTGGGGTTCATTGGCCACCATCCACAAGCTAAGCTTTTGGCGCAGCTTCTCAGCAAGCAACCGGCATTTTGGGAATGAACCCAAAATCACTACAGGAAGCGAGATGGGATGGATTGCTGGGGGTCATATTTTGTCGCATCTTTGAGCTGAACAACTGCTTTGTTCATTTCCACTAACCCACAACCCACAAGAAATATCATGTTTGTTGGAATCGATGTTTGGATCTTGATGTTGAGTATTTGACTTTGGGTCAAAAATAGGTACCCAAAATGAACCCTGGTACATGGAACAAGGACTAAAACCTGCGGTCCCCTGGTGGTTTAGTTTGACCCATACCCATGTTTCCCACCAGCCAAAGAAGTCAAGAGCTTGATCAAGGGGGCCATCGCCACCAAGGTGAAGTGCCTGCAGGTGCTCAACGAGTCCATGGCCGGGTTTCTGCGAAAGTCCGCGGTCGCAGCTTAGAGGGTTTGCGCCGACATTTTTTGGTCGAAGGGGCGGAGGATTTGTTTGTACCTGTTTAGTTCAGGTCACCCGTGGGTGGTTTGGATTGGTCTGGCTTGGAAGTTGAACCCGAGGGTATCATGGGAAACTCGCAACGAACCACCCAACCAGGCTCCAAACCGTGAATTCAGAGGGTAAATGGGTATGGGTCAAACTTAAACCCAGGTTTGCATCTACCAGGGTTCAATTTCGGGTACCTAAATTTGACCCACAGCCAAATGGGAAACTACAAAACCAGCCGAAAAGGGCTCCAAATTGCTGAAGCTGAGGACGACTTCCAGGAGTTCCACGGCTCCATGGTGAGCTTGTCCCAGTCCGTCCGCGAGATGCAGGATGAATCCGGCACATGTGGGCGCCTTGTTGAGGGGCACCGCCCGATTGTTTTGTGTGGGTTTAAATAGGGAGGCCAAAAGGAAAGCCGAAAAATCCATTCTGGGGGCTTCCCTCAAAAGAAGACGGAGTCAAATATGGCAGTGCACAGGACTTCCGAAAAGGAAAGCGATTCTTCCAGCCAATTTCTGTGCACGGTCCATTGGGGAAGATACCCGGTGTCCCCTTTGGACAGCCCCGCCCCCCCAATTTGGTGAGTTCTGTTGGGTTACAACCCCAAGGCTCGGCTTAGGTGGAAAGCCAAACGCAAAGCCCACTTTTTTTTGTTTTCCTTTCGGCACTCCTCAAATAGGAAACTCTTTTGCTTGCAAATTTTGGTTTTCCCTTCCAAACCCAAACCGGAGGTCCGTCTTTCGCCAAGTTGTGAGAAGCACCTCATGAGTTTCGACCGACCTCGCCCGGCCTGCCGTTGAAGCCCCAGGGGGGACCTTCCACGACAATATTTTAATAACAGCGACAGCAAAAAACAACTAGCAACGATTAATAAGTTGAGAAGCACTCTAAAAAACGTTTCGACCGACCTCGGCCATCCGTAGGTGTCCTTTCTAGGTTATTTTGCTTAGAAATAGATGGGTTCCATTGGTTAGGTCGGTTTTATTGTGTTGACCAGAGCCATCGAAATTTTCCCCCAAAAAGGACACCTATGCTCATTCCCTACTGAGTACCAGGCTTGTCCTTTCAGCAAACCAAAAAGTTTCGACCGACCTCGCCGGTGGGCTGACGCACGCGTCGGCCAGGACTTCCGCAGGGCCTTCGCAGAGACCGTGGACCAGATCTCCGAGGGCATCTCTGCGCGGGTTCTGAGCTCGCTGCGAGCGGAGGCGAGAAATCCGCGGGAGATGGGGCCGGCGGAACGCACGAATGTTTTTTTTGGTTTTTTTCTGTAAAAAGAACAACCACACACAACACACAAAAAAAGGGGTCCCCAAAATTTGAGACAGACCCAGATGGGCGCATCGTTTTTTTCAGGGTTGGTGTAAAGGAACACCCACCCCAATCACGGGATTTAGGTGATTTACAAGCGTTTGTGTCTCTTTTTAGAGAGTTTCAGGCTCACTTGTTGGCAGGCGATGAAGAGTTCGACCCTTCAACCACGCCGACCGGATTTTGTCCCTTTGCCCCATCAGAGGTTTGCTCGTCAGGCGGACGAGCGTTTCGCGTGGCTGAGCTGCCAAATGGAGAAGCAGGGGGAGGTGCACGAAAGCATTCAGATCACCCAGCGGAAGATCTGGAACCGCCTGGAATCCATGGGCGCGACCATGGAGAAGGAGCACAAGGCCGCGGCCCTTCAGAGCCTCGGAAAGATGCGCGAGATGCGGCCGAGGGCGGCGTTTTTTTTTCTTCTTTTTTTTTGTTTATCCTTTTAGCCCTTTTGGATGGGTAGGTGTCCATCTTTGGGTGTTTTTTTCGGGAAGGAGGTTCTGAGGTTCTCAAATATGGCTGGTCCCCGGTGCCACCTTTCAAAGTGGATAGAAGAAAGGGGCCCTGAAGTTGACAACCACATTTTGTGTTAAACATGCTGTTTTTTTTTCTATATTCATTTATTTATTTATTTGTCTATTTATTTGTTTGTCTTTCTGTTTGATTGCTTTTTTGTTTGTCTATCTATAATGTATTTGTTTACTTATCTTTTATTTGCTTACTGCTCCTGAAACGTGTCAACGCCCGCAAGGGCAGGTTGGGCAGACAAGTGGATTCCACCTTCTAAATCCCTTGCCTTTGCCATTGCGAGCCGAACTCGGTGCTGACTACTCCCTAGCGCTTAAAGTACCCCAAAAAGCAACACACAGCAATTGTCCATTTCCCCTCAAGGAAGCCAAGCGGTTTTCAGATGAAAAAAAACAACGTCGCATGCATTGGGTTTTGAAATCATTTCTCGTAGCGGCATGTCTTGTTCTTGCTGGTGCGATAGGCAAATGACCCCGACAAAAACCATCCTCTATGGTTTCCTTTGAGTGAAGGGAATCCACAGATTTGTTCCCTCATTCCCGTAGGTGTCCTTTTCAGGTTAGTGTGGCCAAACATAGAAGGCACTGGTTTAGATGGTTTCTTTCTTTTTTTATTCCATTTGCCAGGGCCATCAAAATTTGCCAAAAGGACACCTATGCTCACTTTTGCCGAACATCTGGAAAGACCCTGTGTTTTTTTTTTGACCTCCTTTTTGCGAAGACGTAGAAACAACGGAGCTGTTTTTCGTGAAATGCCGGCAAGCTTGTGGCTTCTCAGCAAGCCCAGGAAGCAGCAGATGGGGCAGCTGAGCGAGACCCAGCTGCGCATCCAGCAGGATTGCCAGAGCCTGCTGGAGCCGCTCGGGGAAATTTTCGGATGGATTTCCCCGTGGTCAACCGGGGGGCCCCAAACCCGAACCTGGATGTTAGCACTGGAGCTTTTGCCCACGAATGGGTTTTAACCACCAAAAAGTTAGTCGCTTTTAGCAGGGCTTCGCAGATTTCGCCACCGAGAGTTGCCGGACTTCTAAACCTGGATCTGGCTTTGGCCTTTTGGTAGCCTGTAAGATACGCACCCAATGCTTAGGGGGGGCCCTCCAAAAGTGCTCCCAAAGCCAGGTTTTGGAGCTCCGTGTCAGGGGGTTTGAGGTTTGGGCGGTGGGTTTGTTTTTGAGGCTTGGTGCTCTTTTTTCAGGCTGGCTGCGAGCTTGAATTGTTGGCCGCCGGGTTTCCGGTGAAAAAGACGGGGGTTGTTGGCCTACACGGAACATATGATGATATGTGTTCTGTAGCTTTAGATATGTTTACTGTATCTGAAGTGGGCTGCATGGCCCAGGGGGAATTCAGTTGCACCATTCAACGCGGTTCCCTTCCGGAGACGTAGGCTCCAGCACGGGGTCTTCCAGAGCTTCCGCAGCTCCTCCGAGAAGCAGGGCGCTGAGAAGGCCTCCCTCCCGCTCTTCGCTCCCGCTCTTTTCGGCACTCGCTGGCGGACCCGGGATTTCCAGGTGGGTTGAAAGGGCCGCCGCGTTTTTGAGGCGGCGAGTTTCTGAGACGCGAAAGGGTTCAAGACCCCTCAAAAGACCCCCAAAAGGAAGCCAATTGGCCCAAGAAAGGTGTTGCCATTGCTCTCTTCTCAAATGGAAGTGGACAGAAAGCTGCCCCAAAAGATAACTCCTACCCTTTGCAGTATACCCAATGTTCTCCACTTCGGGGGAAGCCGACACCATCTTAGGTCGTTACCTGGACCCTCAAACTACCATGGAGGAGGAAATCCACTAGCTTTGGGGTCGTTGCAATTGCGTATCACAGCTTGACGTTTGACCGCTTCTAAAGGGCGGTTGGGTCCAGGCAGTCCCGGTGTACTCAGAACTTTAGGGTACTTTCCCACTGGTTATGCAACAATGTCTCAAATTTGGGCACTACAAGGGGTGGTTTACCTTCAAAAGGCATCCCAAAGGCACAAAAACACCCCAATGACCGAACCCTTATCTCAAAATGGTTGGAGTTCCTTTGGGGGTGGACACCCACAGAGCTGAAACGTGGGGAAGAGTTTTTGAGCACGTGCGCGTGGTTTTTTCCCGTGCAAGCTGTTCTTGGTTTCTCGCGGATTTGTCCAGGCGAAAGGATTTCACTCGAAACACAA